GTGATCAGAGGTCCTGGCGTCCATCGCTCCTGCCCTTTCCGGGATCCCCGTGCTTTGGGCGAGACCCTCCAGCCTGTGCGTTCTGCTACGTTTCATTACATAATCCCCGTTCCTCAGAGTCACCCACAGAGTCACGGGGGCTCAGGCGGTCCCCCGTCTCCCACTCAGCCCTTAGGAAGCTCGGCTGACTGCACCCGGGGAGCAGCGGACTGCTGTCTCGACTCGCCTGGCGCCGCGAACCCGACCCAGGCCCCTCTCCTCGCCCACCTGGCGGGACAGCGCCCTTATGCACGCCCCTCGGGTCCCCACTCAGACCCGGGGCCCCGGGTCACAGCCGCTGTTCCAACCTCTTTCGGGGTACCCCATCACACCTGCTGTCCCAAGCGCTCTGAGGGTCCCCTTGTCGCTCAGACCACCTGTCCTGGTCCCTTTCGGGGTCTCCTCCCTTGAGACAACTCTTTTCCGGCCCCTCAGGGGGTCGCCCCCCAGACCCACTGTCCCGGCTCCTTACGGGGCCCCCCACTCTGACCCGCCGTTCCAAGCCCTCCCGGCGTCCCCTTCCTACAGACCCGCTGTTCTGGCCCAACTCGAGGTCCTCTCCCCTCACACCGCTGTCCCAAGCCCTCTTGAGGTCTCACTCTCAGACCCGCGGGGCCGGCCCCTCTCAGGGTCTCCTCTCCACAGTCCGTACTGTCAAACCCACTCCTGGAACTCTCCTCGGCTCCTCCCCAACCCCACGCTGCCCCGGGTCCCCTCGCCCCGGCTCACTCAGTCACCTCCCGGCGCCCCGGTTCTCTCACCTCAGACCTGCTGTCACCACCCCCGGGCCCGGCGTCGCCGCCGCCGCCGCCGCTTCCTCTCTCACACTTGTTCCCGAGTCGCTCTTCTGCCTCTGGTCCTCTGGCGTATCCCCGGGTCCGGTCGCTGAGTGTCGGGTCCGGCCGTGCGCAGCCTCCGCCCGCGGTCTCCACGTCGGGTCCCACTCTTGCACGCAGGACCCCGTTGCCGCCGCCG